TACAAAAACTCAGCATTTGACTCAATGATAAATTGTATTTGCTGACAAGGTCATTGTATCGACCATAGAACTTACGAAATGATGACTTTAAACGAGCCTACTAAAATTCTTGTTTCATCAACTTGTTTGTAAATAATTCATCTCGTTTTAGAAATTGTTCATACGTAGAGAATGCTCTTGTTTATCGAATTAACTGAAATACATAAACTCCGTATGCAGGTGATGAAGGTATATTGCTGAATAAGTAAGGGAAGTTGACAATAGAAAAGTCATCACGTTAATCATAAAGCTTGGTTGTTAGATTGCCATTTTCAAGTACACAAAACAAATCTGTAAACAAGGCATAAGACAAGGACCTTTGGAAATTTAGAAGTGAGATAAAGTCCCTAGGAGGAATAAGCATCCCCTGTTGACATCAATTTTGGAAAGTTATCGAAAAACGAGAAAAATTTCTAATGCTTATTTACAGTCAAACTGTGTACCGAGTTTCAGAATCATTTACTTATACATGTATCAATGTTTGTAAAAGTAGAAAGTTTCATTTTTACTAGGTGGATTACACATACTTTAGACAAATATGGTAATTTAATGCTTTGAGTGCCTTATATTAATTCTAAAAACCCATTTTGATAAAACACTCGAAAAAGTAACGGGAAGGATATATTTATAACTTGAAGGCTGTTCACAAACGGGGACGACAGAGTGTGGAAATCCTCATTTGAGGACATTTTACCTAAAATATACAATGGGGGACACCGTTCTCTGTGGAAGTTTACTTATTTTGATTCTGTGTCATCAATCACAGACCCTTTGTGAAAGTATCAACAAAGGTTAGACATTTACAATAAATATGTGATTTTTACGTTAAAACAATTATACTGTAATTTTTAATTAGTTTTATACATTTATAGTAATTTCCAATAAAAAACAAAGGTTGATGGATGTTGTAGGCCTTATATTAGCATAAAGGGTGTGGCTTATGCATAAATTAGTACAATAAAATATTCTATTGACTTTGAACAAGTAAATATATGAAAAAAAAATGGTCTTTTAATTCAGAATTTAATATTAGGATTAGTTGGAAAAAACTCACTTCCTTATTTAGCTGATATCATCGGATATACTTCTAAAGATCGTATTTTTTCTGCTTAATGCCCAACCTCAGAGAAGGAAACAATTCCCAGTTCAGAAATCTAATTCTCGTGTGAACAGAACATGAAGTTACTCAATGTCATATTAAGTTATATGCAGAATTCTGATTGGCGTGACAATTACGACACTAGCGAATATTACAAGGGTCATTCAAAAAATATACAGACAATACTCATTCTCCTCATATTATTTTTAAAATATTAAAGATTAAAAAATTTTACAATGTTAAAAATCAACACATATTCACATGTTAAAACATTTATTTTAGCCATATGTGAAGCGCCATTCCATTTGATTAAATGGAACTCATGTGTAATATGGCGTTAAACATGTTAAATAAAAAAAAATTATGACAAAAATCTACGAATGGTTTGAATGATCCTTGTACCGATTACCCTTCTGAACTTAAATCAGTAGATGGAATTGCTTTGTATTTGATGGTGAAAACATCTCTATGGGGTTCTCAAAGGAAAAACACCACACGCATTGTTTATCTAAATTCCACATCGAATGGACCCGCTGGCTGGAATCATAGGTGGAAATAAACAATTTGATATGACCGAAGATCCGTGTTTCGAGATACTGATGAAACAATAATTATTTGTTTCATTATCTCAAAATTGTCTCATACAATTTTTTACAGTTTGTGCTTCTTTCAATGAAATAGCATGAATGCACAAATGTTGACGAGTCCTTTGATCAGCATTTTGTTTGTTTTTAAACTTAAAGCATAAATATTTGGTTTGTAACAGAAGAGATATAAGTCTTTATAGGTTTGACTTATAATTCTAAAGGGTTGGCAGAGATAAACACTCACTGAATAGCTTCTTGTAACCAATAGGAATATATGGAATAATCTTCCATGGATAGATTGCTATATACGAAGCACTATTTTGAAATCTTTTACGATCGTAAAATATGGCCATATACACATATACTGTATAAATTCATATAACATATCGCGCTTTTAAAAACTTACTTTTCATGGATAAACTTATTTATGAAGCAGTCTACAGAAATAATTAGCTTTCTCGGAAAGTCATTAATTTTCATTTTCAATCTTTATATCTAAATCATGTTCTAAATTTTGAAATTACTGACTTGAGGTATACGAGTATACAAAATCTGCTTATGGGGTTATAACTTTTGTTTTTTAACTCTTTCAAGTAATAAAAAAATAATAATAAGGAATAAAAGACATGTATTTTATTGCAGTAGATCTGTGCATTGAAGAGACCCCAAAGACTTGGAGAGAAGCGTCAGAAAGCTGTAACTTGGTAATCTCCAACACAACTCTCCGCGTCGGTGTTCCCATTACTGATATCCCTGCTCCGACCTTCAGGTCTGCACAAGTTCACTGGATAGGGGCAACAGGAACATTCACACCATGGTTTGAACTAGCAGGTAGTTTAATGTTTATTATAGATATTAATTTTAGTACTTCAGTAAAGTTCGTGTAATTGCTCCTTGCGGGAGTATACTACTATATACTAGTATGTATATATCTGCATATATGGGTGAAAATCCCATTCAATCAAAGATGTTTTTAATTTCAAAGTTAGTTGCTATCCAGTTCATCTTATTTAAATGGAAATAATTTGCTTTTCGTCAAATGTAAGCTCAGTTTTAAATGTAGCTTGGTTTATAATCTTCATAGCTGTCTTGTTGCTAAAAAAAATCATACGTCTTTCTTGTAATAAAAATTTCAAGTCCTTAAAAAAGAAATTTCTATAAATTTACGAAAATGTAAAAATTATTATTTTTAAAAAGCTTCTTTTTTCCCAAGGATGCAACCTGTATTTTTACTTTCCGTTCTTTAAACAATGGATGCCTAGTTCAAAACTTAGTCCTGTTGCTCAATGTCATCAATTATGTGAAAACTGGAGGAACACCTATAAGGGATTCGGTATAAACGTAATTATTTACATTTGCATTATTCTTTCTTTAGCCCTGGAGGGACATTGACTTACTTGTTATGACTTATTTGTTATAACTTTTTTGTTTTGACTTATTTGTTGTGAATGTTTCGTAGCTAGTTATAACTAAGTGTAAGAAAGCTATTGAAAACCTGTTGCTTGGCTTACTTTTATGATAAAAATGATATTTAGTCCTATTTTAACTGTGGTTTTTGATTAACAAATTGTAGTTTAACGTCCAGTACAGTTGTGATTTCTAAAGTAAATATATTTTTGTTGTTTTAACCTAATTCTTATTTCTTAAAAGTTATTATTAATTCTTATATGTAACTTCCAGTTTGCGTAATGATTGACAAACTGACAATCGCTACTATGTATTTCATTTTGTCGTTAGTAATAAATTCAAGGACTTTTTTTCTAAAACTATACATTGTCTTCATCTTTTACGCCACTTTTTGTAAACAAAACTTGTCATTACAAATTCAAAATAACAAGAATTTAAAGTTAATTCATAAGAACTAAGTCAAAACACATAAGAAATAAGTCAAAACACATAAGAAATAAGTCAAAACACATAAGGAATAAGTCAAAACACATAAGGAATAAGTCAATATCTCTCAAGGGCGTCCGTAATTAACAGAAGAAAATTTAGTAATCACATCAGTTTTGTACGTTTTACTACAAAACTACAATTAATCGTTCCCAATAGCTTACCTACACTTAGTTAGAAGTAACAAAAAAAATCTCAGAACAAATAAGTGCCGAGCATAGGCCTAAATTTGCAGCCCTTCACCGGCAATGGTGACGTCTCCATATCAGTGAAATATTCTGGAGAGGGACGTTAAACAGTATACAATCAATCAATCAATCAATCAAAACAAATAACTCAAAACAAAAAAGTTATAACAAATAAGTCATAACAAGTAAGTCAATGTCCCTCCAGGGCTATGAACCTATTGAAGAAAAAATATGTTCAATTCTGTGTGAACTTTATTTGGGGGTCAGAGGTCATAGCGCGACCGAATCGCTCGGCGAGGTGATATCTTGTTTATGTATTTCTGTCTGTTTTCGGACCTACCAAGTTTAAGGCGAAGAAAAAGGTAAAAAAAACCTGACACATATAGATATTTTCATTCAACTAATGATCAATAGATCTTCATTTGGTGTGAAGAATGTTTTAAATACTATAATTACAGCCTAAAATCGGACTTACCATTTTAACCCGAAATTCCTTTGGAGTTATGTTAACTAAAACAGGGGATATCATCGCTTTTGACTTCAAATATATTAAAAACTCATAAAATAGTACGACTATTCTCAGTGGGGATCATTGTTATTACATTATAAACACAAAATTCTTGAACTGGACTAGTACTGCTGAACATTATTGTAAATATTCAAATGTTGGTGCAAAATGAACTTTTAAACAAAACAAATTCTAGGCCCCCTAGGTCATTGCGCGTCACAACATAGCAATACGGCGGCCCCGTTTGTGTAATAAATACAGTTTTATTCGGAATTCGTCTCAAATGTAAATATAAGTAATAAACAACAATGTTAAAAATTTCACTGGGAAATAAACTTTTAGTTGGTTCGTGATCAATTCTACTGAGAAGCCGTTTGGGCTTCACAGGATTGGATCACGTGACCAACTAAAAGTTCGTTTCCCAGAGAACTTTTTTACATTGTTGTTTATTTCTTAAGTATTTTCATGTAAGGAAGTGAATATTAAAATGTTTCGTTCCGATTCGTTTACTTGATGTTAAATTTACAAATTGACAATGATAATAATTTACAATTCAGTTAATTGTACAAAGAGTGATAGTATGTTCTTTCCACAAAATGTACTTATGTATTTGTTTTATTACAAAATATTAAATAAGGTATATGTAGTCATAACATCACAATGTACGTATTTTTAAATTAAAATTGTGAAAGACATACTTATTAACAGAAATATACAATAAACCAATATTGAATACTCTCTCTTTCAGGAAAATAATTTTCATCTCTATGTCAGTCTTAACGTATTTACCAAAATAGTTGGACCAGGCCGTAATAGAGTTCAGTGTTCTGCTGTGTCAGGTTATTCATTTGAATTTATATAAAAAGTCGGAAAATTACCTTAGGTCATTATTCAATGGAATTCATGATTTGTTTTCCCCTAATACTATTAACGTCTGAGTTTTGAATGTTTTTTAAATGGAGTCAAAGATTGGAACATGCTACTAGCAGAAATTGAAACTGTTTTAAGGACATTGGCAAGGTTTAGTGGTACCAAACATGTTTAATTCTGGTTCGTTTAACCCACCAAGCCAGCCTTTCTTCTTAGATTTTGTCAAATCAATGCTTTTACAATTTTGAATGCATTTCCTATGTAAAATTTTGATAACAAAAACTACATTATTTTTAACCAAAAGAGTTCTCTTCACTAAAATCCATTTACTTCATAGTGGCATAGTAGTTTTGAATAAATTACATTGTTGATCCTTAATTCTAATGACATGTATATATTTTGGCTGAAAATGCAAACATAGAACCAAGACAAAGAAGTTCCTGCAATGTTCTTCAATTTTTAAGTTACTTCCCATAACATCTAATTATTCTTCATAATGATCAAGAAATTCAGTCATGTAATTTATGTTATTGGAAACAAATTGTCATAAATATATTAGCATGGATTTATTATAACTTTTATTGGTAGTTACTTAAGGGTGCCTCGGTCACATGACTTAAAGAACTGTTCTCATCCGGTTACTTAGCTTTCACCACTTTCAGCATATGTCACATCTTTGCCCTTCCTAGCATAGCTATGGTAAATGCTATGGTAAATGCTGACTTGTTGACTATCTGTCTCTTTAGTATACACAAGGTACAACATATAGTTGATTCTATCCGTTAAAAGAACACATGTGCATTTGTTTACCTCTGTAACATACGCTTTATTGTTTTCCACCGCCTATGACCTGAAATACAAAAAAAAGTTTTATTATTTTATTAATATATTGATAACGATTATATTAATGTGAAGGCTTGTTATAAACATACATTATTCACAATTCATTCTAAAGACCTCTGTGTTGACAACTTGATCCCACTTATTAATGAAAACATTTTTGTTGCTAAATATCCATCATACAAGTATAACTATAAGGACCCAATTTGAAATAAGCCCTTTAATTGTTTTCCGGGGTTATTTTAAATATAACATGCAATTTATTTATGTTTTTCCAAAATTGGATGATTCCAATATATTTCATAATTTAAATATAATTTTTTATGTCAAACTTTGTATCTATTTCTTAATATTATCTTGTCAAAAATGTCGTATAATTTATTTATTAATTGACTTGATTCTGCAGAACAGAGTCGCAATTTTGCTTATAGGTTAATAAGAAGTGAATTATTAATTTCAGTATTTCTGGGCACATAAAAAAATTGTTCAAGAGTTGATACTGCATTAGTCAATTTTATATTGTTAATGAAACGTAACAAGTTTAGTACTTCATTGTAGAAAACTCACTGCTTTTGTGATGACTATGAAAAAGCGGGTTTCTTCAAAAATGTTAACTGCAAACTTCAAAATATAGAGAAATTCAAGAATGACTTAATCGGAACTGGTGATAAGCATGGATATTATGCATTTGCATTGTATAGGAGAGTCAGAGTAAGCACAGAAATAGGTAAAGGCGTCTTTCATCATATATTGAATCTGTAGTAATTCAAAGCAAATTTCATTCAGTCTGTTTTTCTGTTAAAATAATTAACTGTTCGTTATGTTCACCTTTTTCATTCTTTCATTTGACAAAAAACAATGTAAATAAACCATTTATTCAATGAATAAATTTCCTCTCTTCACTGTTTAAAAAAAGAAGTTAAGTGCAAACAAACTATTATCTTATTAAAAATAAATAACACTCTTATGCAAGATTGAAGACATTTACGCAAAGCATTGTACTTTTTCACTGAATTTTACTTTGTTACGATGTAAACGTTATTTTTGAAGTCCAAGTCTTTTTACAATAGTTTGGAATTCCCATGTATAATAATTGTATCCCGTTATTATAAGACGTGTTTGTGTATTCTTATGATGCAGAATTTATTCATAAAATTTTATATAAAAAGAAGTATCCTGTAGTATCCTTAAATTTAGATATATCAACCTTTTATTAAGGACAGATGATACCATTTTTCCTTGGAGGAGACTTATTATCATGTCATAAGTTTAGAATCGGGAATCGGAAAATGAAATAGACTCAGAAAATATTAGTAATATTTCAATAAGATTACAAATACGAACAAAAACACTCAGTAAAGGTTTACAGATGAAAAACAATTCAGAATATGTTATCTTTGTGCTTAAAAGTGTAAGATAGACTTAAAAAAAATATACCAAGCCAGGTGAAGTTTATTAGCAAAAGCAAAATAGTAAAAATCAGCTTATGTGATATTGCTGATGTTTTGTCATTTTGTTTTCCCTCAAAAGATTCAACTGGCTTGGTATATTTTTCTAAAGTTTATATTAGGTGTGATTGTCTATATTTGTTTTTTTATTATTGAAATATTATTTATATTTTCCAAGTCTATTTCATTTTGCAGTTTATAGGAGAAAAAATTCTAAGAATTACCCACTTTTCTAAACATGATATTAAGAATCCTCCAAAGAAAAAAAAATGTTTGTATCATGTTAATTACCAATATACGTTTTCATTTTCATACACTTATAATGAATATATCAAATTGAACTCGAAATCAGACACCACAGAGTCTTCTCTTCTTGATGTAGCAATATACTATTATCACCTACTTTTGGGGTTGGTGTTCCTTGTATATAATACAAGAACATGTTCTAAATACGATCCATTTCTCAAAGCTCAAACGAGACAGGCTATTGAAAGTCAAAATCTTAATAAGAAACTCTTACCTATTGAGTAGATTTATCCAGTGAATAAAATGTTCTGAATTATAGCTTGAAATGTGTGTACATGTATATGTAATGGATTTAGAAGATCATTTCTTTTCACAGATGACTTATTGGGCGAGTGTCTGATGGAGACAAACGAAGGAAACAAGTCATATCCTTGTGATTCAGCAGGTTTGTAGTGTAGATATAACTACATGTAATCGACTAAATCAATGTACATGTATCTAAATTGGAGGATATTTACTATACGATTTGATTTTTTTAGATATTACACAAAGCACATGGGTACAAAGACATCAAAATAATATATATAACAGCAGTCTTCCACGATGGAGCCCTTACGTACGACGATTAATTATAAACTGGAGGAATGGTAAGAACATACTATTGACTTCAAATCTTATATACATCTTATGTATACAATACTATAAAAACAAACTTTTGTATGGTTGATACAATGTCCTTGTCACCAAATAAATCCAATCATTAAGTCAAATGCAGAATTACGTTTTTTATACTTATTATTAGGCTATTATTTACACACTAAATGTTTCCGTTTTTATCTGGTCAAGACAAGGTACACACGGCGGGTGTGACCAGTCTGCATGGGATGCTCACTCTTTTATAGCAACTGATCCCACCTCTGATGATTTCAGAGTTTCAAGTTTGCTCTGATTCAAATTTGTATCGTTAAAATGGACTTTGAGCACGAATAATGTTCGTTAAACATCTTTTTAATGTAAACTTAGAATATTTGTGCAGACATTCATATTGTTTTTATAACAAAATGATGTTACAAATGACAAGGTAAAAATGAACGAGTTGTTCCATTTTTATTCAAAACTAGAGGTACTGTGAGCAATGAGCTCACTAAATGATACCCCGCCTCCCATATGAGTATGATGGCAGTGTCCATGTTTTGCTCTGGAAAGTCCAAAATATATGTCAGATCTAAAAGAAACTAGATGCTGTCATGAGACAGTAATACCCGCACTAAGGTGTTTGCCTCTAAATACACGCTCCTTCATATTGGGCGGCTTTCAAAGGAAATAGTCAAAATAATTCTATAATTTACATGTATTAATCAAATTGATTATGAAATTCTCAGACCCTGTGACCTATAACTCAGAACCTCTTATATTTATTTTATACATGCTTAATTCATTATATACAAGTCTGAATTTTATTAATGATGTAAATTCATGCACGGATCTGTCAGGGGGGGGGGGGGTCAGCCCCCCCCCCCCCCCTTGGAATTTACAAGGTTAAAAAATGTATACACTAAAACAAGGAAAAAGTTACAATGGACCCCCCTTTGAAAATGCAGATCCCCCCCCCTGGTAAACACGAATATGTGTAAAATAGGTATGAAAAGTTAAACATTTGCGGCAATAGAAGTCACCACTACCCCTTACCCACCTCCACGATATAGGTTTTTGACGTTTGGGTGAGATTTACTTTAGGTTTTTTTTTGATTGTCAATTTCTGGGATAGGATTTTTTTTGACTGAGGTGGACCTCCCCCCCCCCCCCCCCCGGAAAAAAATTCTGGATCCGCGTCTGAAATTATATATGTTTTGCTCATAATAGGACCTTTTTAAATTTACTCCCCCCCCCCCCCCCCCTCGACGCCACAATCACACAGCACATACTTTTTGGAATAGGCTAGATGGAAAAGGTTTGTTAAAATTTAATATCGTTTGTAATGAATTAATTTAAAATTTGTTCTTGTACTATACATGTGAACATGTAAATTTCTACATTACATCACGTTGCGTCACCCATTATGATATTTATAGATTAAACACCATTTGGCACACCTCGGCCGATTCCCACTTCATCTGATAAGGTGACGGAATCGACGAAAGTTCGCCAAAATGGCACATGGTTGCAGTCTGGTGTGCATTGGATTAATTCATTTTGTGTTATAATTGGATTTATATTTCATGAAGTTTACGAGACACAGGGAGTCGGTAAGTAGAAGTCAATGATTAGGTTAAAGTTTAAAAAGGGTCAAAGATCATCCCATGCCACACTAGACGAATTTCATATTGTGAAGTTATCTCCCATTGTCGATGTGACATTCAGTTACTGCCAATACTGGTGCGGATCCAGAATTTTTTTAGGGAGTAGGGAGGGGGGTTCACATCTAAGTCAAAAAATTCCAGCCCAGAATTTCGTGACAAGCAGGAGAAAAAAAATGAAAACAAATAAACAAATAAAAAAAACAATGATAGGGAGGTCAATGTTTTCTAAGTTTATAGGGAGAGGATGTCAAGAGTCATTTTTTACTTGCTACAGTATATAGTCTTGTTTAAATAACAAAGCAAATGCAAGATGGGGGGGGGGGAGGGAGGGGGGGATTCCAATCTTCCTACCCACTTCCTGTCCCTGAAATAACAATCTATTTTGTGATTCCAGTTTAATAGTATATTTTTTTTCCATTTGACTAATTATTATACATGTACATATTTTGTTTCTTGTCTTTATAGTATGTCTGTCTATAAGTCTGCAAAAATTAAATCCTAGCTAGCTTGCCCATAAGTTTTAAGTGGGATGGGCTATACATATAGCTTCCACATTTTATAGGTTTATTTCTTGTGACAATTTAATAAGACCTTTTATTTGGGTACCATTAATTTTTACCTCTGATCGCTTGACATGGGATACACATTTTTACAAGAAAAATACCAAACTTTAAACTCTGCCTAATTTTTGATCAGTAGGTGCTAGGGCTTTCATACTTATCATGACATATTGTATTCATTTTGAACTGTCAACAGGAAATATGTTTGACCTTGACCCTAGAGTTTGAACCACTTAAAAAAAAAATTAACCTTGGCAATTAACTTTTGAAAAGGAATTACTAGAGATTTCTTTATTTAACATAGACTTTCTTCTGACACTAACAATTTGAACCCTTGACCTTTGAGTTTGACATATATTTGAGAAACTTCAACCTTCGCCATAGGCTTCCATACTGGGACATCAGTGTTTCACAAACACATCTTATCTACATTATTATTTGGTGGTGTCTCCATATGAGGGAAGATGTATTCACAACAAACAAACAAATTACTAAAGAAAATATAAAACATAAATATGTTGGTCATGCATATCTCTGCAGGAAAAAAAACAGCTTTTCAAATACTCCAACCATATTGTAACCCTTTCAAAACACTCATTTGAGCTTTTTTTGTTTCCTTAGCATATAATGTCTGTCGTGACGTGTTGTCCATCTGTTTGTCTGAAAACTTTTTACATTTTTAACTTCTCTAGAACCACTGGGCGAATTTTACCCAATTCATATAGAAATATGTACATTTGTATGTCAGTCCATCTGTCTCAAAAAATTTAATCTTGGTTATCACGGTCATATCTACAGAATGAGAAGAGACATTCATATTAAAATTATTATTAGTATATTTACCTGTGAGAATGGCATGTTTTTTTTTTACATGTGACCTAGAAGTTTGACCAACTTGCAAAAAAATTAAGTTGTTATAAATTCATCATTTTGAAAGAGAAAAGTTAGGGCATTCATATCATAATGCATGTTTATTATTACCTGTGATAAAGACCTTTCCAAATATTTTTACACTGTGACCTTGACCTTGAAGCGATCAAGCCTAACCTACTTTTCAAAAATGTTGCATTTGCTTATAACTTTTGATTGAGATGAGATATGACTCTCACATTTGACATGTACATAAATTACTCATAAGAATTCAAGGTGTTTCCCAGCATGCAATGTTTTTTTTATGCGCCCCATTTTTTAGGGGCGCATATTGTTTTTGTCCTGTCTGTTTGTCTGTTTATCTGTTTGTCTGTTTGTCTGTTGTCAAGTTTAACCTTGGCCAATACTTTTGAACCGTAAGAGATAGAGACTTCATATTTGGTATGCATACTCCTCTAACAAAGTTCTTTCAAATGACATCAAGGTCAATGATCTTGTGACCTTGACTGCGACTTATATGCTAAAAATAGGTTTTTCAAGTGTTGGTCATAACTTTTGAACCATAGGAGATAGGGACTTTATATTTGGTATGCATACTTCACTAAATAGGTTCTTTCAAACAACACCAAGGTCAATGATCATGTGACCTTGACTGTGACCTTTATACTAAAAATAGCTTTTTCCACTTTTTGCCATAACCTTTGAACCATAGGAGATAGAGACTTCATATTTGGTTCGAATACTGCACTGATAAAGTTCCTTCAAATGACATGAAGGTCAATGACCTTGTGACCTTAACGGTGACCTATATGCTAAAAATAGCTTTTTCTACTTTTTGCCATAACTTTTGAACCATAGGAGATAACAACTTCATATTTAGTATGCATACCCCATTAATTAAGTTCTTACAAACAACACCAAGGTCAATGACCTTGACTGTGACCTATATGCAAAAAATATAGCTTTTTGTACTTTGTTGATGCCGGGCGCATAGTATTTCACAAACACATCTTGTTACCCCTTGACGTTGATGTTTTACATAATTTTCAAAATATTTAACCCTCCTAAAAGATTATTAGGCTTCTGAGTAACATTAAGGAAGACTTCAAGTAAGACAGGGCTTTTTGCACAAAAAGCATCATTTTCCGACCCACATTTGACCCCCCGGGGCAAAATCTAAATTCCAAAACCTTACTGCATATCTACATGACCCCACCAACCATCTCCCAAAAGATGATTAAGCTGCTGAGTAAAATGTAAGAGGAGTTCAGGGAAAACAGGGCTCTTTGTTTGAAAAACATTATTTTTCAACCCCCATTTGACCCCCCGGGGCAACATCAAAATTCCGAAACCTTACTGCACATCTACCTGACACCACCAACCATCTCCCAAAAGATGATTAAGCTGCTGAGTAAAATGTAAGAGGAGTTCAGGGAAAACAGGGCTCTTTGTATGAAAAACGTCATTTTTCGACCCCCATTTGACCCCCCTGGGCAAAATCAAAATTCCGAAACTTTACTGCACATCTACATGACACCCCCAACCATCTCCCAAAGGATGATTAAGCTACTGTGAAAAATGTAGGAGGAGTTCAGGGAAGAAGGGGCTTTTTATATAAAAAACGTCATTTTTCGACCCCCATTTGAACCCCCGGGGCAAAATCGAAATTCTGAAACCTTACTGCACATCTACATGACACCACCAGCCATCTCTCAAAAGATGATTAGGCTGCTGAGTAAATTGTAGAAGGAGTTCAAGGAAGAAGGGGCTTTTTGTATAAAAAACGTCATTTTTCGACCCCCATTTGATCCCCCGGGGCAAAATCAAAATTCCGAAACCTTACTGCACATCTACATGACACCCCCAACCATCTCCCAAAGGATGATTAAGCTACTGTGAAAAATGTAGGAGGAGTTCAGGGAAGAAGGGGCTTTTTGTATAAAAAACGTCATTTTTCGACCCCCATTTGATCCCCCGGGGCAAAATCGAAATTCCGA